GTGGTTTCACATGGTCTGCTGCTAATGCAAGCACTAAATTTGTCAAGTTCCCTCTTGAAGGCATTAATAAATATGCAGAGGAATAATGCTGGAGGCTTCATCTGCAGTTCCTCAGTGCTTGCATGTCTTGCAGTTGGTTTTGATGTGTCCTTTAACACAGGTGTTTTTGAAGAATGCCATAAAAGTTAGGAATTTGTTCTTCCCAAGTGCAAATAATTAATGCAGGGTAGGAAAAACCACTTTCTTTCTGTATATTCTTTCCAGTCGAGAGGCCGGGCTTGATTCCAGAGTTTGAGGATCGCTTCTCCCCAAACTGCTGCTCTTCCAGTGGTAATAAACAACTCGACCATGGGCCTCTTCATCTCCTCTTCGCTTTGGACATCGAGCACAACGTGCTCTGAAGGCATCAAGCGTCCAGTCCTCCTGTCAGCTTCCCCAAGAACATACCCTGAGAGGCATTTTACAGGATGCAGGTGGAAGAGCTCTTAAAATTGCTAGACAGTGAATACAAAGTCTACATCGGTAGTGGAGTTGGGGATGGCAGAGGCTGCTGAGACACCTGCAAGGAGGTCCCTTGCCTTTGCCACTAGACCACGTCTGTCTCTGGCTATCACAGGCTGTGTTGCATTGTCTCCAGGTCTGAAAAGGGAGGTTTTGCTGGGAATTCTTTTTCCTGCTCCAGGTCTAAACTGAAATTTCTGGACATGGCTTCACTCCTGCGCCTGCGGGGATGTTAATGAAAAATCGGTTTGGTATTTGTTGGGTTCTCACTAGATTGCTTCTTGCTCTGGGCAGTCGTCACCCTATGCTGCTATGCCTGCTCTTCAAAGTCAGGCTTACGTCCTTTCCTGTTCTGGCCTTCTCAGTATAAAACAGCAATATAGGGGTTTTTTTTGTGAATCGGTTGTTTACTCTTTTTAATCCTTTTCTAATCCTCTTGTTTCTTAAATTTCATTTAGATTTTCATCAGACTACATCAGGTCTATCTGCCTTGGCAAAGAAACAAAAAATACAACAGGAGAAAGGCCCCAACATCTAGCTTAACATGGCTGGTTTGTGCCTTAGCAGAGTTAAAATGCGAACTTGTGATGGCTCAGGCTTTTGCAGAATGTTTTTAGAAGAGTATTAAAAAAAACAAACATTTGAATGCCTTCAGGTAGAGGACAGGTTAAAGCTCTGCTTGTTACGGGGGGAAAAAACCAAACCCAAAACATCCCCTCTGGGTGTTTCCCATGACTTTGAACTTTTCAGCAAGACCAGTGACAGTTTAATAACACTTTTTTTAGTCACAGGGCTATTCCTGTTGTCAGCTCTCCAAATGTTCTGTGTCCCACAGTAGCTGAGACCCAAGCAGCCAATTTCCAAGCGTAGGTGAAATCCAAATTGCTGGTGATACAGCTGTGGTTCTCCTTTGCTCAATCAAGATGTAAGCCTTACGTGAGGGATTCTGCCTTGCATTATAATGCGCCTGCTGTGCTTAGCCCTGACAACCGGGCAGTGTGGCATGGGGTTGGTCCCTGAGCTCCATCAGTTCCAAATGTGGAAAACACAATAATTGTACACACACAGAGGAAAATACAGTAGAGCTCTTAGTGGCTTTTGAAAGAGCTCGATTTTGTTTGGTGCCAGAAATTACTCATTCAGAGGCTTTCTCACTGAACTGCCTTTCCAGCTCCTGGATATTTCTGAAAGGAGTGAAATGCAATGGAGCCTTCTAGTAACGGAGCCTTGAAAGCCTCTGTATTACTGAGAGTGCAGATGACAGCAGGGATCTCGCTGTACAGACACAGAGAAAATAGCAGATGAATTTCCCATTTTCTAGTGATGAAAAGGCATGGGGCAGCCCCCGGTCATACACCAACCTGCAGTATTTCAGGATGCATTGCCCTGCCCTCCACTGCCTTTTGTATTCAGCTAAAGGGAATATTTTGGAAAGCTACCATCCCAAAATGATGGGGGGAGGAGAACGATGTGAAATGTCCTCAGAGGTGATCTCCAAGCTGCTACTTGTCCTGGTCAGATTAATCCTAAATGTAAAATACTTTTTCAAGGTAAGAAGTAATATGGATTTAGGTATAATGGAGCTCTAGATTTTAACCTATGTGTAAATTACTCCTCTCTCTGTGTTTGAAGAGGCTTTTTTTCCCCCCTCAACCCATCTAAATTCAATGTTGTTCCTTTTTGCTGCAGCTATTCATAGTCTAAAGTTGAGTCGCAACCATGTGGACTGGCACAGTGTGGATGAAGTGTATCTTTACAGTGATGCCACAACATCTAAAATTGCAAGAACTGTTACACAAAAGTTGGGGTTTTCCAAAGGTAATATTTCTCAGAGTTTGTAAAGCATATTGTAAATACCAGTGTTTTAAGTTCGTTACTTTAACACTAGAGGGGGATTGCAAGCTTGATGTTGTAATGTGTGACTAGCCCACTTTGGCCATTGCAGGTTTTACGGAAGAGTGCGTTAGGGTCCTTAGGTTGTTGTATGTAATTGCAAGTAGATGTGAATAGGCTATGACTTATTTTTATTGAGTATTTTATTATTGTTCTGGATGCAACAGCATTGCACAATACAGAAAAATATTCCAGTGGCAGTGTAGCAGCTATGTATGATATAAAAATTACAGTTCCCTTTGCAACCTTAATTTTACCACTAGGTACTCGCCTATTGTGATGCTTTCCTTAAAGATACGATGATACCTTCTCCTCTCACTAGCTCTTGATTTTTTTCAGTTCATCAAACAGACGTGAACTGAGAGGAGGGGTTTAGCGTTTTAGACAGAAATTATTTCCAGTAGGAATCCAGGCTCGTTTAAGCTCCAAACTCCCAGTTACAAAGCTAGCAAGGCTGAGGTGGTTGGAAGAAAGAGATGGTCTCTCTCAAGCAAAAGGCAGATTAGTGCCAACCCAGAAACTGGAATTTGTCCTCTCTGTCGTGGTGCTCCGTGCACTGCTGGACAACAGCAAAAACAATAACACACTCATCTGTTTTGCTCCTTCATCTTTGAAGAGAGAAGATCAAGGAATAGGTTCAGCTTTAATCTCCGTGCCTCTGTTCTGTAATTAATGCCCTCTTACCCCACAGGGCTCTTGCTTGGATGCTTAATTAATGTTTGCCAAGAATTAATGTAACTCTGAATTAATATTTCTTCAGTTCCAGAAGAAATGAAGTATTCTGTATGCAGAATATGATTTGGATAGTGTGTAATAAATAATCATAGAATAGAGTCATAGAATCATTAAGGTTGGAAAAAACTTCTAAGATCATAAAGTCCAGCCATCAACCCAACACCACCATGCCCATTAAACCATGTCCTGAATAAATATAATAAGTAAGATCTGTCCCAAACAGTTTAGGGAGGGAAATATCAGAAGAGGTCTGTCACTAGAGGGGGATGGAGACACGCCACGCCAGTGGGTTCCTCAAGTCATTTGCACTGAGAGAATGCCCAGACTTGCCCTGGATAATTGATTTTTTTTTGGTTTGCCCACTCAACTGGAGAACGAGTGACTTGAAATACAACAGAGGTTTTCCCTGTCAAAATGAAAAATTGTAAAGCTTTTCAACCAGCTCTCTTAACTGGGGCAGAGAAAGAATGGAATCGCTTATCAGTTTTGGAGCCAGATCATTTCCATGATCCTTCTGTGCTGTGGAAGTGAGGTGTGGATGTAAGGACTTTTAATGATTGAGACACACAGAGGAAGGGTATTGTGTTGTAAAAGTGGATGGGCAATTATGCAACTGTTATCTAAAAGGTTGTTTTTCGAGACATCTCTGAAATGAGTTATCTTGGCAATGGAAATGATCTGTTAATACATTGATATAATTATTATCACCTAGTTGCTCAAACCTCTCAGGAGTTTAAAATTGCAGATATGTGAAAATTTATGTATAACAATCTAACTTTCAAAATACTTTAACGTATTGGTCAAAGCCAAGTCAAGCTTCTGTCAACGTATGAGACGATTGCACTTCACAGAATGTAACTGATCTAGGATAATGTTTTTTCTGCAGCTTCAAGTAGTGGGACAAGGCTACATAGAGGCTATGTAGAAGAAGCTACGTTAGAAGACAAGCCACCACAAACTAGTCACATTGTGTTTGTTGTGCATGGTATTGGGCAGAAAATGGACCAAGGAAGAATCATCAAAAATACAGCTATGTGAGTGCTTCATCATATTTGCAGTACCAACCCTAGCCTGAATGTAAGGCTGATGTTATAAATGACAGCAGTCCCTTCCGTTTAAGCTGCATCTCTGTTTGCTTCTCCTCTTCCCCTGAGTCATTAGTCTTGACATTGTGTGTTCACTACTTGTTAATTGGGATGTTAATTGGCCTCCTGAGGGCAGCTGCAAGCCAGAAGAGCAAAGATACATTGATATATTGTGTTTTCACGACCAGTACTTGCAACCTTTATGGGACAGCCCCCTGAATTTTGAGCAGGTGTGGTCAGTGACTTTGCTGAGCGGGGAGAGATTTGTCATTTGGTCAAAATCAAGGGAAGTCTCTGCTGTTCCTGCTGGTTGTCAGAACAGTGGAAGAGTGAAGTGGTACTGGTAAGAGATGGGAAACAGGGAGCTAGTGGGGATGTTGGTTTTTACTGATAAAAAGTAAAACATGACTGAAGGCTCACCAGATGTCTTCACTGAATGTCTTTTGAAGACTGGTTCACAAGTGGCTTTTGATTTTTAAATTTTTTTTTTATTCAACCTGAACATAAGAAGAAACCAATTTACTGTAAGGGTACAGAGCACTGGAACAGGCTGCCCAGAGAAGTTGTGGAGTCTCCTTCTCTGGAGACCCATGGTCTCCATTGGACACATTCCTGTGTGACCCAGTCTAGGTGATCCTGCTCTGCCAGGGAGTTGGACTGGATGAGCTTTCGAGGTCCCTTCCAACTCCTAATATTCTGTGTGATTTAACATCTGAGCTGAGAAGGCCACTTCAGGTGCTGGTAAGGGGGAACTCCTGAGCTATTGAGAATGCTGTCCCTGGAAAGGTTTTTGAATATTAGAAATTGTTGTGATGACAGCATTATGGGGGGCAAGGTGGTGTCATGGAATGCTTCATTAGCTGAAAGAAGAGGCTAAAACAGTGTTAACTGCAAATCTGTGTTGTGCAGATGGTTTAGTATGAGTGTCCCAAATGGCACCACGGTCCTTCAAAGCTGACAGCAAGGGTGACCTCCCCAGTGACTCCTGAGAAAGCTGGGTTGCTGGTTTTGTGGTAAGAGCTTGGGAACCTCCCTTTCAATCCAGAACAGCGATGTAGGTCAGTGTTTGTGTGCCATCGTGTCAGCAGGCTCTGGTGTGCACTCAGCTCCTCGTTCCTCTCCGGTCTCCTCTGGTGTGGTAGAGGAAACCTCTCGATTTCACTGCTGTGCCATTTGTCATCTCAAAGCAAGACCCTGCTGCTCCCTGGCTTCGCTGCTCTTTTGTGTTTTTTAAGAGCAGGCAATCAAATCCAAAGAGAGAAGGATCCTCGCTTCTTGATAAAAAGCTGAAAATAAAGGCAGACATGTAAATTGTTGTCAAATGCAATTACACTGCAAATGCAAATACCCTAATTATAAGTAGTCACTTTAATAGTGACAAGAAATTAAATGTCCACTTTAGCATCAGTAAGGTTTTCTGCTTTTTCTTTCTTCCTGCCCCATTTTACATTGAACACACATACAGGGGTTGTATGGGTAGATTAACTTCAGCTCAGGACACAGTGCATAAGCGTTCATCGCAGAAGTTGTCTGGTTTTAATTGGCAGCCCATTATGTGAAATCTTTTCTCTAAAAGGGATACCAAGACTTTCTGTGCTTCAGTAAATCTCACTCATATCCTCAGGAAAAATCGGATGGTATTGCATAGCCTTCTAAAATGCTAATTATTGGGATAAATTGTGCATTCTGTACAGAATCTGCAAATGAAAGCATTTTAGATTGAAGTCTCTCTGTTTTTTAAAAAAGCTTGAAACTTTTCAGTGAGGAGGATCCCATATGTTCTGGGAAGAGATTTTAGAAGAAGTGTCTGCCAGGCCAGCACAGTGGCAGCTCTCACAACCATGCTAGCACTTTCTGTTAGCACCTTCATCCGTGATATATGTGTGTATTTTTAATTTATTTTTTACATTCTTTTGCATTAGGGATGCAGGGAGTCAAATGTTATTGTTGCTTCTTTGGGGGTTCACTCTCCTCTGAGGTAAAACTTCTGTATTTCTTTCAACCTGTGTTGAAACAACGTCACGTCAGTTCATAGCACAAAACCAAAGCCTCATTTGTACAAGTGATCCTGAAAGAAAGAAAAGTGCAAAAATACAGGTTATAATCCAGATATGGATTCGTCTGTTTGTAACCAGGCTGGTGAGAGACCCTACCAGGGCTCATTCGGTGCGCTCCGTCCTCAGGTTACCATCTCGAAAAGAAATTGGTGCAGCTCATGTGATGCATTTGCATCATTAGGCAGATCCTGTTGGTTACAGAGGTGTAAAGAGAGCTCTGCTTCCAGGGTAATTTAGCATTATATGCACTAATTTCATTAAGGAATGGAGTTCAGTCTAATCATTAGCACGGTTTGGTGCTGTGGTTGCAGAGTGTCCTGTAAGCAGGTAAATGGAAAAGATGTGTTTTGTCGATGGTTGAATGAACAAGTTGCTGGTAGATGTGCCATGATTTTGTATCTTCACGGTGTAGTTAAACACATTTATTATCTAAATGTAGCAGGGCAGCTGGTACAACAAGCTGCTGCTGTCAGTGCTGATATTGACTGCAGAGACAGGACCTCCTCCAGGCTGGAGCGGTGATTCAGAGCCCAACGTGAACAGAATAACATGCTCTGGTAGCATAGGGGTGATTGAGGAAGAATATAGTAATATTCTGTATTCCTGTGTGCTATAAACTTAAGATATTATGGCATAATATACTTAATTTAAAACAATCCTGTTGTTTTACCTGACTTAGGTAAAGGTCAGACCTTTAGGCCAGCCCTCTAAATTTCATCATACTCTGTGCTTGAGAATTGAATTAAGTCACTGTTCTGTGCATTTCCATAATAGCTGTAATGCTGGGACACTTTTTGGCTGTTTTTACCCTAAAGCTGGTATCTGTCTGCCTCTGAATCTCCTGGTTTTTTGATTCAAAAGTTATATTTGCCTGTGCTGCTGCTCATAGCACAAAAATTGCTGTCTGCGCAAGCAACATCATTTTGGCGCTCTGTAATCACCAATTACATTTTTGTTGCGAGTCCCATTAGAAAGCATTTTAATTATGGATTATCATTATAATAATTACTTCAGAATAGCTGTTTTGGTAGACTTCCAGTGGACAGCCTTGGTGCTGTTTGGAAAACGGTGCTGGGGTGGGTGCCTTGGTGCTGTTCATGCTTGGAGCACCTGGATCTCCGTAGACTTTTCTCAGGGATCCCATCATCAAATAATCCAGCAGCTTGCTCATGCAGAGTGCCATTATTCTCGCAAAAGATGAAGTATGAGTCATGACCATGCTTACTTTGGTTGCATCTTAGAATATCCATCTTTCTCTGGAATTAAAATGAATCCACATATGCCCCAGAGCAGCGGCCTTCATGTCCTCTGCTCCAAGAGCAGATGAATCCCTGAAGAAGAGCAACAGGAGATGACTTTTGCAGTTCCTCTTTGAAATCCACCTTGAGTAAGACTTGAGCTGGCATTTCTGCGGTGCAGCTCCGCTTTTGAAAGCCACCTCCCTTCTCATTTCCTCTGGCTTGAGCCGCTCTCAGTTTTTATTACTCATGGCTTCTACTCTCACTTGGATTTACCAAATTTAGCTCGAGCCAGCCCCGAGTTTCCTCAATAACTCGTGGTATTATTTCCTCAAAGAGGCAGTGGGTGCTGCCGGAGTTGAGGAATATTTGAGAGCATAATTCACCAGTTTTTTGACCAAAATCCAGGAATGGATCCAGTCTTGCAGGCATTTAGTTTAGGGTTTTTCTGTTGGAACATCCCATTACCCTATATATTAAATCAAGAGTTCAGAGTAACAAGTTGGCAGGTGTAATGCTTTTTAAATTAAAAACCATTCCCTTTTTCTTGGCTATGGATCATCCAACTGAATAGAGTCTGCAGAAATGCCTTGGGAATAAAATGAGTAACATCTTCAAGCCTTCAGGCGTTTTGCTGTTTCCAGCTATCAAGGGCATTTTATGAAACTTGTGAACTAGCTGAAGCTACCTTGTTTGTAGCTCTCCAGTTTTTAATGTAGTATTTATTTGTAAATGCTCCACGAGCGTAAAATTAGTAGCATCAGATTAAATAAAAAAACCCACAGCACTAATCTTACCTATGTTAACATATCTCTGGAATATACTTGCTTAAGCAAAGATGTATGTCTGTGAAAATACAGTTTTATTATTTATTGTTTTAATCAGAGAAAGGCAGCCAAGCACATCTTATTCATGGTGAGTCTCAAAGTATCTATTTTCAGGCCATTATTGCATGGAAAATAGCAATATGTCAAAGTGCCTTCTAAGGTGTGCGTTGCATCTGTGCCTGAGTGACTTTTTTTTTTTTCCTTAGAAAAAGAATAAATTTTAGTTGTTGCTGTGCGTTTTGATGTATAGATTTAAGTAATTGTTGCTCTGGGGTCAATATTTCAACATCCATTTTGTATTGGAAAGGAGAATTCTCTGCCTGTTTAGATGAGGATTTACTGCTTCAGTTGGTGTTAATTTAGGAAGTGAGTAGAAGGACTTGCCATCTAATAAAATAGCTCAAAGTATTTTTTTTAAGAAGCCAGAAACAGGAAAAAAAAGGACTTTATAGCAGAACAGATAAGCCTGTGCATAGCAGGTGTATATATTGTGGGGTTTTGCATGTGAGCGTAGTCGCGTTGCTTGACAATTACACCACAGTTTTCTTTAGGATTTACAATGTCAAACTGTTGATCAGAATCAGTGGGAGATGTGGAACAGGGCCGCTGGCTGCAAATGAGCTGTGCTGCGCTGGGAGTTGTCCTGCTGGTGGGTTTTAATGCCTCCGTGATTCTTGTGATCGGGGGATCAGGGCGACATTGCTGCTATAAAATAAGGAAAGAGAGAATAATTGCACCTCTGACGGTATTTGGGTGGTAGCACCGAGCTGGTTTGCTTCAGAAAGTATAGTGGTAGGCCTAAAAATTAAATTATTTAGTGATTTTATGGTTTGTAATATTAACCAGCTTCATAGGTTCAGCGTGCAGTGCGGTCCGTCGTAGCGGAGGAGCGCACTTGAAACACTGAGAAACACAACTGCATCAGTGAGGTTATCTGACAGAAAACTTGTTAAAACAGACCTTTCCACCAGGGTGGATTTTACAGGGGAGAGAGGAGATGCACGCGAAGTTGGGGTTTGGTTTTCTAATGTACCTGAGTGCTTTTGGGTGTCTGTAATCTGTTCCAGCAGAAGTTTGGAACTGTTCTGCCGTCGGCTGGACCACATCTGGCCAACCTCAGCTGATGTGGGGGAACTCCCCACGTCCAAGTACATTCACATGTTGCATTTCACAAACTTTTGGGTAAGGTGCTGCTTTTAGGAGGGGAGACTTGATGCTTTTCACAAAAGCTTTGGCAGAATCACTAGGCTGCACTGTTGGTTTTTTTCCTGAACTTGTATATCTGGCTTTAGAGAAGAGACTTTTAGTTAACAATTCCTGGGTGGCAGTTTGTGAATAGCTTTAGTGAGTCTTGGACCCTTTTGAACAGGGAGAAACTCTGTAGCTGTCATATTTGAAGATAGGGATGGCTCTTTCTTCATGGTCACAGATGTGTGGATAGTTTGGATGTCTTTTCCTGCACTATCAGGACCAAGTTACACTGACTTCATTCATTTAGATTTTAGGTCCCTACGTTTCTTTGTGCTAGCAGTCATCTGATTTTGTTCAGACAGGTGTGTTTCTGGTTTGTTGTGGTTGTGTGACATGTGAGCAGTGTTAATGTCTTTACTGAATCTTTATCTTCTTGATAATCCATAAATCCTGACCAGCTGAAATTGGGCTTTCAAACAAACGTCCTTTGAGGCATGTTGCAGTGGTGGGGTGGGTTCTTCTGTGCTTTTTGGGCCTTAAATCAACCCTGACTTAAGCAGATCCTCTTGCTGATTTTTTTTTGTTATCATGAAAACCTTTACTATCTCATAGGACTGGAGATGAGCAGTGCATCAAAGCAGGCTTTAAAAATAGAGATGCTGCTCAGATGCATTTCTTGGCTGCTCTCAAACTGCTTTGGAAGAAAGGCTGTCAAGGATGCTCCCCTTTCTTCATTTCACTACCAGAAAGTAGGTGTTACTTGTGGAAAAGTGTTTTCATTGTGTGCTTCAACAATTTGGCGCCTCGTTGATCTGCTTTTTTAGTCGGATAAGAGGCTTTTCCTGGGGAAAAACACAATAAGAAGAATTCACTGTTTTGTAGAAGATGTTTTTATGAGGCATTGGCTTTCATAGCCTTCCTCAGTGAAGTGTTTCTCTCTCACTGTGTTGCTGATAAAGCTGAAGTTAAAATGTAGAAGGGCGTTTTGCCCAGAACCACCATGACATCTCTCTGCAGCTGGAGATGACGGCTGAAATTCGTCTCTGCTTGTTCCACCATCTGCCTTCTACTCTCCCGCACAGCCTAAATCCAGGGCTGACAGTTACACGGGGAGATTATGACCAAATTTTGTCAATACTTCCTCCCTTTTATCTATTTTGTCTATAGGGGATCGCCCTGGCAGTGTTTTGCTCATCAAATGGAGCAGCTTAAGCGCTTACTGTCTCAGGTGTTAGGAGCGATTTAGGCTCAACCGTCTCCTTTCTGCTGAAGGAGAACGTTAATATTTTCACTAAACCACAGTTGGACTGGTGGAAGTACGGCTGGGAGATGAATGTCATCATGCCTGGGGTCGCAGCCATCATTAACAGGGCTTTGCTTTGAGAACAGGGAAGTGAAACCCATGGTGAAACTCGGGGCTTTGCCTCAGAAGTGGAAAACTCTGATGCTGGGAGCTGGGAAGCAGCTGCTGGAGACCCAGCACAGATTTAGTTTGTTGTGCTCATCTTCAAAAATGTTGATGGCGTCGGGAGCCGAGATTCATGGAAAGGAAAATGAAACGCTGTCTTGGTTTGGTTGCTGAATGCTTTTGGTAGAATGTATGGATATTTTACTGTCTGGCATGGTTTTGTGCTGGTTTTCTTTCTGGGTCTTTCATACGAGTAAAATAGCATTTTCAGAATAATATAATGAACCATTATTTCCCTTTTCCCCAAAAAACAAGGGTCACATATACTTTGGGATTTCAGGTATTTTAGTTTCTCACGCCCCTTGAGAGAGGGGCTTCAATGTTCAGGTTCAGATATGCTTTAAAAGTGAAGCCTTTTAAAAGGAGAGTTGGCCTGTCCCTCCACTACTGCAAACTACACTGTTGATAAATGATCCTATTTCTCACTCTCGAGCCTTCCAATTTGAAAATTAAAAAAAATCTGACTTTTCAATATTTTTAACTTTCATACAAGTAAAATAGCATTTTTAAAATAATATAATAGACCATTATTTCCCTTTTCCGCAAAAAACAAGGGTCAGATATACTTTGGGATTTCAGGTATTTTAAGTTTCTCACGTCCTCTGAGAGAGGGGCCTCAATGTTCAGGTTCAGATATGCTTTAAAAGTGAAGCCTTTTAAAAGGAGAGTTGGCCTGTCCCTCCACTACTGCAAACTACACTGTTGATAAATGATCCTATTTCTCACTCTCGAGCCTTCCAATTTGAAAATTAAAAAAATTCTGACTTTTCAATATTTTTAATAGTTTTCTTTGTGTTTAAAAGCACTGAATAGTCTTCTTTACGTGCTGGTCTAAATGGTTGATTTTGGTGGAGTCAGGATTTCAAGGCCATGCTAAAATTCTTCATTTTCAGATCACATTCTACCCCAAACACCTCAGAGTTAACAGATATCTTACAATTGAATTTAGATGGTTTATATTAAGCCCACAGTATAATACACTTAAAGTTCTTTACACTGTTTTTGAGCATGTAGTGCACAGGATTTTTCAGTATATGAGAATTTAAGTACTTTATAGCAAAAGCATGAGGGGGGATGGTTACCTGTGTTATAAGCATGCATTGAAAACTAGTAATGCAAGAAATGGGTTGTTGCTGAGTGCATCGGTTTTGTTTGATAAGAGCACCAATAGCAGTCTTTACAGGAACGTATTTTTTTTTGCTTTCATAGGATGCGAGATACTGCAAGAAAAGTAGAAGAAAAGTATTTTTCCAATCTCGCAACGCACGTTGAATTTCTTCCGGTCGAATGGAGATCAAAACTGACCCTGGATGGAGGTAACACTGCCTGGTTCTCTTGCTGTTCCAGCAGCTGCAGTTCCAATCCTGTAACTCAAGTCTCTTTTAATTTTCCTCAGACACTGTGGACTCCATTACTCCAGATAAAGTACGGGGTTTGAGGGATATGCTGAACAGCAGCGCGATGGACATCATGTATTACACAAGTCCTCTTTACAGAGACGAAGTAAGTGTGGTTTTATGTAAGTTTTATTAGAGTAGGGCTTAGAGAGGCTGAAACAAACTGGACTTAGGAATATAAGCAAAACTTTCTGCTGTGAGACCCTGCATAAGGGATGCTGACACTTTGCAGGTATGTAGTAGTCATCCACAGTAATCAAAATACAGAGTTTTAAGAGTGAGAGGAGCAGAGAAACAGCAAAAAGTACAGTCAGTGTAATCTGTTTAGAGCAGAAATGGCTGTCTAAAATGGGTCTGTATCAGCAGCTTAAAAGTGGGAAGGGTTTTTGTGGTGTTTCCATGCATAGAATCATTTAGGCTGGAAAAGACCTTTAAGAACAAGTTCAACCATTAACTTAATGCTAAACCACTAAACCTTGTCCCTAAGGACCACATCTACACATTTTTTTTTATCCACATTCAGAGCAATGAGAGCCCCTAGGGTGATGCTTTAGGATTAGTTTCTATGGGAATACTATTTTTTTTCTATTTTGACTATGTTATATTTGGAGCAATGGTAATGTTTTGCAGCCTTGGTTCTTACTGCATGGTGAGGCTGAGGCAGGGGGGAGACACTTTCACACAGAATCCCAGAACGTTCGGGATTGGAAGGGACCTCCAAAGCTCATCCAGTCCAATCCCCCTGCCGGAGCAGGAACACCCAGATGAGGTTGCACAGGAAGGCATCCAGGCGGGTTTTGAATGTCTGCAGAGAAGGAGACTCCACAACCTCTCTGGGCAGCCTGGTCCAGTGCTCTGTCACCCTCACTGAGAAGAAGTTTCTTCTCAAATTGAAGTGGAACCTCCTGTGTTCCAGTTTGTGTCCGTTACCCCTTGTCCTATCATTGTTTGTCACCGAGAAGAGCCTGGCTCCATCCTCGTGACACTCACCCTTTAAATATTTATAAACATGAATGAGGTCTTCCCTCAGTCTCCTCTTCTGCAAACTAAAGAGACCCAGCTCCCTCAGCTTTTCCACATAAGGGAAATTTCCACTTTCAGACTTTACCTCTGACTTTGATGCTGCCTTTCATTAAAATTAGATATGTACAAGCTCTGTAGACTGGCAATGTAATTTTAAACCCTAAACTAATTAATAATACTTCTTTTCCTGATAGCAGCAATGGTGGCGAGATTGTTAGAAGCCTTCTAATCTTCCAACACCAGCAAAAAAGCACCAAAAGCTGTGCTCTTGTTGTTCAGGGCTCCTGGGTCCTCCGCTCTATTGGGTTTCTCTGTTGGGGAACTGAGGCCAGGATGAATTTCTGTGGCAAGCGATGAAAACTCTGGCAGCTCAAATATAGATTTTTAAACTTCATTAGAGGCCTGGTATGTCTGCGGGCATCTTATGGGAAATGGATGAGAGAGTAAAGTTCAGGTATGCTGGCCAGCAATGCATGAGAAATTTAATTTATTGCTCAGTGGAGCTGTAGTTTTGCAGGTTTATCACCATCCCTCAGGTACGGGAATTGACAAACTGAGTGTGCTGCAGCTGTGCTTAGATTTGATTACAAGACTCAGTTGTTTTCATCACCGAATGAAGTGAAATTTCTTAAAGTGTTTGCAACAATACGCACAGGTTGATCGTTACCATGTTCAGACTGCACTGATAAACCTTAACTTTCTCAAAGCAGAGTTTGCACAAATTTCTCCGAAAAGAAGGTGCTATTACCAAGGAGATGTTAAAACCTTGAAGAACAGGTTTCTGAAATGCAGCTTTAGTGTTGCAGCCACAATGTTTGGGATGGAGGTTTTCTGGTTGTTCGTTAAGCTACAGAGTCTGTGTTCACCCAAGAGGTGCCTTCTTGTTTGATTCTGCTCATTTGGTTAGGAGCTCATAGCCACTAAATACTTTTTGCATGCTTTTTCACCTTTTATTTTGCCTTTACCTACAGAAAAGTGACTTAGTTTGGGTTTGGTTGAGGTTTTTTCTGTTACTCTTCCTTATCCCATTTTATTTTCTGTGACCCAACTTTGCAGAGTTTTTAAACACAGTATTATCAAGTTGAGCATTCTTCTGGAAAACAGTTGGGTTTTTTTCCCATGTTCAGTGTGGCACTTTGTCCTTAGCTTTGTCTCCAAGTACTCTCATGGTCACTCATGGCTCAGAATTAACATTCC